AAATTATCAAGGCTTAATGAGGGGGTGGAGGGGGGAAATGAGAAGCTGATACCAAGGGCTCCAAGTAAAAAGAAAATGTTTTTGAAAATGATGTTGGCAAGAAATGTGCTTGACACAATGGATGGATTTATGGATTGTGATAAGAGTTGTACGAGATCCCAATAAAATGATTTTTAAAAAAAAGAATTGCCCCTGTGAGTTTCCCAGACTGTTACCTGATTCAGGGGAGTCAAAAACCCTATTTGCCTCCAGAGGACCAGCTGCTGACCTTGCAGATCACAGCCCAATGGTTATCACTATACCACCTGGGCTCCTGTCAATTATCACTAAGGCAATTCAAAAAAGCCATGAGTTAGTAGCAATGTCTTCTTGCCTACAACTCAATCGAAATATAATAATATACAGAGGAAGGCCATTTTTCCACACAGTGAGCTGGAATGTAGAGATCAATCACTATAAAGTCATTATAGTGATCAATCACTATAAAGTCACTATAAAGTCATTGAAAAGCGAAGGATCTTCCTCCCACCTCTCTAAGGCTCAGGTAAACTAGGTATTTTGGGCAACACCTTGCAGCTTGAATTCTTCAGAATTCAGGATTTCTTTCTCACAGACTATCTTACAAACAAAAAAATCTTCAGGTTTTTCTATTGCACTAATTTTTTGTTTGTGACTTTTCAAAACGCCCAAGTGGAGTCCCAGTCTAGCATTTTCAAACTAACATCAACATCTAAATCCCAGACAACCCAAAACGACTCCCCTTTCCATTACTTTTCTCTTAAGCTTGGGGCTTATTCATATAAATTCTTTCCTATGACTCTTCAAACTATTTGTCATTTTAAAAATTACAATTTTAAAGAAAGCGCCAAGGTCAATGCAGTACACAGTTAACAAGAGAAAAAGTATTTCTACATGCCAATTATACCAAAGCACGGAAAACTAGAAAGCATAGGCGTGTTTACCAAATGGAGTACTTTGGGGTGGGGGCCGGTAAGTCGATTTGTAGCTGTGGTCACAACCAGTGACAGACAATGAAGGGCAGAGCAGGAAACTTCAACTCTCCAATTGAAAGCTAGCTAATCTGTTCTCGAACCTTTTAAACTACTAACCAAGAGACTCGCTGTGAAGGCATGAGTAATTGCACCGTGTCTAGAGGGAAGACTGGGACTAACGAGGGTAAATGATCTACAAATGTACCTGTTCCGTAAAAGCAACTGAATTCGGGTCGAAAGATCACCTCCACAAGACACACACGCACACACACACACACATCCCACACAGACCACCCCCCCTTTGCAATGGATGGCTAAGCTGGAACAAAGCCAGGCTGGACAGCGGGGCTGCAGGGTCCCTCGGCCTGCGGAGCCTCGGGGTGGGGAGTCGGACCAAAGCATGACACCCGCCTGAGCCACAGCCCGCAGCGCAACCTCAATACTGCGCGATCTCATCCGCTAATGAGTCACTGATCATGGCAACCCATCACTTGCTAGGCGTTTTCCACGTACTGACTCCCCGTCAACGAGAAGCGCAGAAAATAATGTAAACTCCTGAGAACACTGTGAACTGACCGGTGCTGCCCGCGGCGAGAAAAGCCGGCTTGGGGACGAAAGCCCGAGCGACTTAAGAGCCCCCGCGAGGCCGGTAGAAGAGACAGAAAGGGGAGGAAGAGCGAGACGGCGGGGCGAGAACAGCGGGAGGGGGAGGACCAGGCGAAGCCACCGCCGCACCCCGGCCCCCCTCACCTGCCGGCCCGAGCTCCCCGGGGTGCCCGTACCTTCGGCGAGCGACTCCTCCAGGGTGACCTGGTAGCGCCCCACGGCGAACACTCGGACCCCCACGGACGAGCCGCTGGAGCTGGAACCCGCCGCGGCCCCGCCACCCGCCGCTCCGCCTCCTTCGGACTTGGGCATCCGAGAAAACTTCTTCATGGTCCCTCCGGGGCGCAGGAGGGCGCGGGGCGCGCACCAGGGCGAGGGAGCGGGCGAGACCC